TGCTATAGGTTATGATCCCTGTTCTTTGGCCACTGATGCTGATTGTAGGAGTAAGCCAGACACAAGTTCAGCAGTTAGGGCTTTGTTTTGCTGGGGATGATGGTGCAAGTGTGGATTCTTGCAGCCTGCTATGGGGAGCTGGCTCCCAGGCTGGAGGGCTCCTGGCTACGCTGTGGTGACACAGTGGTGGCCGTGTTGGCACATCAGTGGCACTAGGCAGAATCTGATACAGGTTGGTTCACTTGCATGTTGCTGTCTGGAGTACAAAATGGGAATTGGTTGTTCTGTGGTACCCCTAACAATGCAGTCAAGACCTGTGAAAACCCTTCTTCAAAATTCCTGCACACAGGACCCTGACTTCAAGTCAGGCTTTTCACTCTCCACTGTCAACCACCTACAATGCTTAGGGAAACTGGCTTGCCAAGTTCAAGTGAATGTTTACCCACTAAAAATCAGAAAACATTTTCAAATCCTATAATGGGCTGAGGGAAGATCTTACTAAGACACATTATGGAAAAGAGCCTAAGCAATAGTTGGTGGTGGGGGTGACAGAGAGTGAAAATGTAAGATCTTTTAAAAAATAAATAAAGAAATACAGGAAGGAGCATTAGTAGAAATTTTACTTCAAAAACTTTGTGATACTAGGAAGGGAAGGAGATGAAAGTGGTAGGATACGTAGCCAGTTTAAAAATAAAGTGATTGTTAGGAATGCAATTAAACATCATACTCAATGAACTTCATAGACCGGATGTCTTTCAACTTGATTTATCCCTCAGGTGGAAGACACTCCTACATCTTAAGACCAAGACAGAAGGAACCGCAGAAGTCTTGGTCTCTAACCTTGTTAAAGGATAGGAGTTGGTAGATGCTTTCTGCTGGTTAACAGATACATGAGTCATGGTAATGCAGTGAATATTTAGTGTTCTGCTCAAATCTGCTGCTTTACCTTGAAAATTTTCCCTGTTAGTGAAATCACAACATCTGCCATACATGTTGACTGGCCTAAACACCTTCCCCCTGCCATTTAATTTCTTGTAAAAGACACCATACACAAGATGGAAATGAGACTCCAACACAGTGATGCTATTTGTTACTCACTATGCATTGTTCTTCTAATCATGGCTTTTTAACTTTGACAGATGAATGGGAAAAAGAACTGTAAAAATCACTGCCCTTTTTTGCTGTGTAACTAAGTGAACAATCTTGGTGCAGCACCAGCTAGTACCCAGGGCATACAGGATCAACGTGAATGTAGTTTAAGTGCCTTCGTGTCTTCACAGAACTTTTCTTTCTGTTCATGGTTCACAAAAAATGTAAAATCAGATAATAAGTGCTACCCAAATATATAGTCAATACCTGAAATAATTGCTTTAATTATTTAGTTAATGCTTTTTCATATGTAATTTTCCATTGAAGATGCTATTTCTTTTTATTTCAAATTCATAGGTATGTGTATATAAAGATTATTATAGTTGTCACTGAAATGGAATAGATGCTGATACTTTTAATTTTTTTTAAAGTCCTGAATGTAAGGCTTTTCATCCAAATCAATCCTTTTTGTATTGAAGGGAAACTATTGAATTGACAATCACAAAGAAAATGTTCAAATCTTGGGTGTGTACTGTTAGTCATTTTAATTCAAAGCTTCAATGATAAGAGTTCTTAAAGAATTTTTGATCTATCAGTTTCATTATCTTTGTTCATTGTAGTTGCCTCAAAAATTTTCAAATGTGGTTTTTAGTGGCTAATTTAAGTCTTTGGCCCATTTCTATAAAATATTATACCTGAAAATGAGATTTTCAATTATTAATTTTTATTTTTTTTTTTGCATAGTCTACCATCCCTTGAGAAGCCAGGTGTAGTTCTGAAGGTTAGCTGATAGTGAAAGGTGTACTAACTCAAGCTCAATACAACTGTACTATTTCATGTCTCTTTTATCATATGTTTTGCAGAATCCTATTGTTTCTTTTTAGAGTAGGACTTGAAATTAGGAACTTTGGTGGTGGTTTGCAGGGAATTCTTGCTTCAGAGGTGAACAGCGTGGAAGTGTGTCAGCATTTAGTGATAAAGCTTTTCTGATTCTTAGCACGCTTCCATTTGGGAACTTCGTGTGTTTAGAAATGTTGACTGTTTTCTCAGTACTGCCTTGTACCAAGGTAAGTGCAGATAATTCTTGTGGCAGCCACTTCTGGTTTTTTGTGACTGTGGGCTCTGGAGAGAAAACAGGATGGAGGCAGTCAGAGTTTGTCATCCCATTGCCTTCTTTCTAAGTCCATTGCTAAAACATTACATTTTTTTGTATGTTGGGATTGGTTGCTTTCAAATACGAAATTATTTGATCACTGAATTGTATTCAGATGGAGAAAGCCGTGTATAGTATTTCTTCAGCCGTTTAGCAGCAACTTGGTAACAGCAGTGTTTATTTGTTGGATACTGGTCTTTACAAAGTCATGTCAAGGATCCTCCTGTACCTGTGGCATTGTGCACTTGTTACTGTGCCTGGATATTCTAGGGATTATCACAAAAAGCATTAAAAAATGCATTGCCTGGGATTTCTGCAATAGCGTTGATTCTTGTATTTTTTAGTCTGCTAGGGAGAGAGAGTGGAAAAGCAGTATGTAAGATCAGAATTAGACATAGATTATCTGCCTAATATGATTCTTGTTAGCACAAATAATGTGAATACTATTTGAAGAACAAACGGATTATAGAAAAAGAAATGAAAACATCCAGATCCTGAGCATGTGGAAAGCATGACACTGATGTATTTGTGTAACCTTTTCATGAAGAGTGATGCTGAAGTCAAAGAGGGGATTTTGATTTCCTTCATTAAGAGCTTATTAAATGAAGAAATAGGACAGTCGTTGTTTTGCTTCAATAGTTGGGGGTCACAGAGGCGGGCCTGGTCTCCTCAGGATATTAATGCCTGCTTTCAGCCGGGGGAAATGAGCCGGAGTGAGCTGCAGCTTTATGTGCTCGTCACTAGGGATCCCCATATGTCCTGGGATCTGCGGCAGTCGGGAATGGCAGAGCTGGGCGGCGGGAGCAGAGGGCTCTCATTGCTATTCATACCAGGTAGCTCGGCTCAGTCTGCCCAGAGCAAGTCTGTTTCATGTTGATCAGCTGTCCATCTGATAAACCGAATTGATACGGACATTTCCTCCAAGGGCTGCCCTGACAATGACAGCAGGAGCATCGGGATGTCTTGTTAGTCTTTTTCTCCGAGCTTGAAAATTTATTAACCCTTTGTTAGAGCGAGCCAAGCGTGATTACAATACTGCGACTGCGTTGTGTGAGTTTCTCCCTCGCGTCTTTGAAAAGCAGCCTCAGCCTTCAGATTTATTGTCTACATGGAGAATGACTGTTTGGTTTTTGAATTGTTTTTGTCTGTATGGTGCCAACAACTTGTGAATTATAAAGGCAGCTTTTAAAACAGCTTAGGGTTTTTTGTGTATGGTAAAATACATCAGGAACCTCTATTTATGCTCTCCCTCCAGCTCCTCTGCCTTTTGTGTGCTGCCCAGGCCGTGTGACTGTCCCATCTCCTCTCTCTTGCTAATTGACACTGGCCACTGCCCTGAAACAGGTGTTGCTGGGACTATTCACAGATCACATATATTTGGGGCAGAAGGTTACTTTAGATTAATGTGGTTTGGGGCAGTTGGAACACATGTGCACTGTCCAGAGGAAACAGAAATAATTTGTTCAGCGCTGTGCTAGTACTGAGGCAGAATCTAACCTGAGCATGTACCAGCTGGTATATTGTACGTGAAGATATGGATCAGTTTGGTTACTCAATGAATCAGTGCTTGGCCACTTCTGAGTAAGCACAGAGAACATAACACGCCTTTGTACTGTGTTTAATTAATTAGAACTTTAAGGCCTTTAGTAATCTGTTTAATTGTGGGCATGGATTGCATTTTGCTCATATGTGAAATCTCTGTGGTAGAAAGGGAAATGTTTGAGTCAGAGAAGGTGTGAATGTGCTGAAGATTTTGTAAGAATGCGTCCTGTGTGTATCTAGCATTAAAAGGATGCTCCAGTGCATTGCTGTGTTTCCTCCTCCCCTTGCCCCTGCTCAGTTATTTTGTCTGTTCAGCACCCCATTGTCCTGAGCTGAGGTGGCATCTCTGGGATTCTTAGAGTGACAGTCACTGTTGAGGGCTACAGGATTGAATTGGGGGAGTGGGGAGGAAGAGAGGGCTGTGATGATGACACTTTTCTTGCCTTTTCCAAAAAATTAAAATAAAGAGCAAGCCTCTATGGAATGACCTCTGTGGAAAGCCTCTCACAGGGATTTGTAACCCCTAAACCCAGAATGTATCATGCTATGTGTTGGAGTAAGAAGTGATTTGTAAACCTATCCAATAAAATTGGCCCCTTTGCTTGACCATCACCTTTGCTTCTGACTAAAACCACCAGTGAGATACCATTAGTACACAGTTTTAAGCTGTTTTTCCTCTCCTGCCTGAACCCATCTCCTTTGGTAGTATTGAACTGCAAGGTATTCTGTTATTAATTTAACTCTAATTTGAGCAGTCATTGACTGCAGCATTCTTACATTGTTTGGATTGGCTTGCTCAGGACTCCCCTGCTGATATGTCCTTTGTTTCTTTCCATCATTACTTTCTGCTTGGCATTTTCTTCATGTCAGTGTCCCTCAAGCTTCTGGTAGACAAAACAGAAAAAAAGAAAGCACCATAGAGGACTATATTGATTATTTTGCTTTATTTTGTGAAAGAATTCAAACAAAGGGCAGCATTCTCCCAAGTGGAGCTTGTGGTACCTGTGGTTTGCCTGGAAATACAGGCAAACTGTTAGTGACAGTTCTCTGTGTTTAACACCTCCTGGCTGTGGCTTCTAGAAGCACACAGAAGAGCTACATGATAATTAATAAAATACCTGTTTAGCACATGTAGTTGTTTGTTTATTTTCACTAAGAATCTCTGTTCTATTCATAGCATCAAACATAATTGTGCTTTTTTCTTTCTTTGTTTCAGTCAGAGAAGTCTGGCTGAGATTACGGAGCTGATCCATACTGCCTTTCTGGTGCATCGTGGCATAGTAAACATTGGTGAGCTCAAGTCCTGCGATGGCCCACTGAAGGATATGCAGTTTGGGAATAAAATGGCTGTTTTGAGTGGAGATTTTCTTCTAGCAAATGCTTGCACAAGCCTTGCACAATTGCAGAATACCAAGGTAAAAAAAAAATCCTCTACTGCCAAAGCAAGTAAATATTAGCAAGTATTTTGAAAGAGAGACCCCCTAAAAAAATCAGCAGTTATGTATGTATATATGGAGCATCATTTAAAAATCAGCAGGCTGACTGTTATAGCTGTAAATTTGGCAGTCTGCTGCTGCTGTGAACGTGTTTAACAGTCTCCTATGGAATTACTGTGATGATATCTTTAGTATACATTCTTAAGCACTGAAGTAATGGATGGATGGATGGTCAAATAGTGAATTTAAGGCATATGCAATGGTATCTTCATGACATGTCAGGCTACAATACCTCTGGAAAACTTCCAGTGAAGACATGTTTGGTCTGTTGTTTTCTTTTACTTTGTGCTTTGTGAAAGTTTTTCTGTCTTAGATAATTTGGGGAGCAAAAGACTTTACTGCTTTGTCTCAGGTGACTTTTTGCTTTTCATATTGTTAGGGATTTGGATGTGCCTGAATATTGGATTGCCCTACTAATGTGGATGTACTGGCTTCAAAGGACAGCTGCAGTCCAACCGCTTAGCCAAACTGTTTGAAACATTACAGGGAGATGTTTTTGATGAGAAACAAGTTGTGTATATGTTTTATCTTATAAAATGAGACTGATGGAGACATTGAGATCCTCTCCCAAGTCAGTTCTTCTTTTTGCCAGATAGTATCAACTACACAAAATAATTCTTGATCCACATTTATCTAGCTTGTTCTTAGAACCTCCAGTGGTGGAGAGAGATTCCTGGGCATCCCTGTGCCAGCCTAGTGTAGCACCTAACTGTGTGTATGGCTGAAGAGCTAAGTGTGCCATTCCAATGGAAACTCTACGTTTTGCAGAGGTGCTTTTCATACATTTCAAGATTGCTGCCATGCTGTAATGTAAAATAAATGTTTGTCATGTGCAATTGTCAATAATCATCATAGTTGTAATTGTCAACCTAAGTAGTCTGGTTTTTTTTAGATTCTCATGCTAAATCTCCTTGTGGTAGTAGAGTATTTCTGTGCTCCTTTGATCATGAGTATGAGAGTTTCTCTCAGAAGTGGTGTCATTTTCTAACACAGAGCTGAGATTCAAGAGAAGAGACAGAAAATTAGGTGTCAATCTGCTGGAATAGTGGGTTAAGCCATTATGGTGCTAACTTGTAGTAAGTATTAGCAAAAAAAGTTTAAATAGTGCACACCATAATCAAAATGGGGTGTAATTGATTTTAGTAATTATTATTAATTTGTATCAGTTCATTCTTTTTAGTACCCTGTAAGTTTCTCAAGACAGACCAAAGGATTTAACCTTAACTACATCATTTTTCTGTTTCAACACAAGAGGAAACTTTTACAAAATGTAGCAACTATTACTTTGCATTTAGTACATCATTAAGTATTGCAGCAGGAATGTATAATCCCTGAAGACTTGCCAGGAAACAAGCCTACAGTGAAATGAAGCACAAGTGCAAAGAAATACTTTTTTTTTTTTTTAAGCAATCATTATACTGCATGTTGGAAAATTCTGCCAAAACATTTTAGCACTTTTTTTCATTTTTCTGACATCTAAATACTTTCATAGCTTCTACATACGATAAGTGGGATGCCATTATGGAAACTGATTGACTTAGTAAATTATTCTTTTTCATACGTCTAACCCTACTAGCAAAGTTAGAAAAATTGAAATACAAGCTATAGAAATCTCTTGACAGGTGCAATGATTTAAACATACTGTATTTATTCTTTTGTAAATGATGAATTTTCAAATCTGGCATCTGTTTTTTAGCAGTGTGAAATAACTGTGACTTTTTTCCTTCATAATGTTTTGTGTTCTTTGATGTAAAAAGTAAAAATCACAGTACTGCTTTTTTTGCTGGCATTTAGCAAATTGGCTAATGAAATGAGCAGCATTTTATCATGCATGGTACTGACCATGGTAGCCATAACCTCCACAGACATGCACAGCTATTGTGTAGACCAGAATTTAAATTAAAGGGGGTTTTAACATAACTGAACTCATTGCTACCAGGATAATTTTATTGTCTGTTAAATTCATGTCTGAGCTCGTGTATGATGCATTTATCTCTCTGCTTCTCTCGGGGCTGACAATTAGACGTGAAATTCTGTAGTCGTAATGAAATGCAGAGCTATTTTATAATTGCCAAGGGTAAAATTAGCAAAGTCAATTATTTTCCCTTAGGCTTTCCCTGTAGATATTAAAAGGCTGCAAGGTAATTGCCTTAGGTAACACTTTGATTTTTAAATAACATTAAATATAGGAATTGTTGTTGTTAATTCCTAGTAATTTTCCTCTTCTTGCTACTGTTATAGAATATTACTATAATGATGTTAACAAGAATCAAGGCTCAGAGTTTGTGTTTTTGGGGTTTTCTTTTAAACTAGTGCTCGTATCTCTCATTATTTTGCTAAAGTTTTGCTAAAGAAGGTTTTGGGGTGGTGTTTTGGGTTTTATTGGTTTTTGATCTCTGGTACAAGGACTCTGGATTGCTTTAATTCTCAGTTAGAAGGCCTCCTGCAAGGTAAACTCTACTGTTGTGCTATTACAAAATCATTGCAAATTTTGGTTTTTGAACACATAACATTTCAGAAGAAAGCATTCTCATTTTCTGCTTTGCAAAATCTTGGTACATTAATTATGAATAAGAAGTTGGTATCAACTGAGACTTGAAATATTGAAGGGCAGATGCATGTGAGTGCTATATTTTTGTAATCATGGCAAAGTTCTACATCTTTTAAGTAATAAAAACTGTTGAAAATGAACACTAATTTCTTCAAAAGCCTTTACAGTACAAAGCATTAGATTGATCAGATCACATGTGTTAACAATTCTTTTGTACTTTTTGATCACCTTATATAAACTAACCTTTTGGGTGGTGGCTCTTCTTGGCCTGCTGATTGCAGTGATAAATCATGTTGTTGATTGAAAATTAGATGGATAAAACCTTACTTCAGAAGTGCATCCTGTAGCAGATTGTTTATTGCTAATTCATGGATTTTAGAACAGAATTGAGCCCAAAGATGAATTGGTTTGGGATCTTTCAGTAATTGATATATCAGCAGTGGAATGGCAAACCTTTGGCAAGGAAGGGCATGTTTGTGTTTTGCTGCTTAACTAACAATGCAGTAGTGTGTGGTGATGTGCTGACTTATTGGGTTGGGGTGTGTTTATATGGATGGCAGAGTTATTTTGGTAGGTTTTCTCATTTTGAGTGTGCAATGCTCCAATGCTAGGATCATGATAAGAGGTATGTAATATATACGTGGAAGCCATTGTAAACATGTAGGTATGGGAGTGATGGAAAAGTAAATTATGTTGTCTAACAAAACAGGGTACCTCCCAGCTATCCTGTGGGATATGTGACCATAAGCAGCTTTAAATAAATGTGCTAATAAATTATTAAGAAGTGTAAAACGATCTGTTTAATGGGTGGTTCTTCGTTGCCATCTGAAGACAGTATGTCTTTAACATTTGTTATCTTGGTTTGCCTAGACAAGGATGTGGGGATGAAACTGCTAAAAGCAAATCTTTGGAATAAAAGTCCCTCTTTGACTCTGGTAGCAAAAAGTGTTAGTTTTGTCTTTGATTTCTGCTTAAGTAACCTGCACTTCCTATAATATTTTTAGGGTGGCATTCAGATGCAAACATAGCATAAGTAACAAACATTAATTGGCATTTTTGTCACATGTCATGTGGATGTGGGATATGGGCATTTTACCACGAGTGATGTGTGGATACTGACCATAATATTATCAAATAATGTGCTTTTTCAGTGTTTGTTACAGAGAAGTTGGAAGAAGCCTGTCACAGCATTGAAGCTGGTGCTTCCTTGGGTAAAATGCCCATCAGTTGTCTTAAAAACTATAGAGGAGATGTTTAAAAGACATGATTAAAACCAGTTTTGATGCTCTTACACTCTAAAGAGAGTGGTGCATAAAACTTCAGAAGGCTGAAATGGTGCATTTTAGTGCAACGGCTAGAAAATGGTAAAATAATTTGCAAATGCGTTCCTTGCAACTTCATAAACTGATAAGAGGGCATCCCTTTGTATTTAAAGAAAGAAAGCCCACAAATCAGCCAAACAACCAAAACAAAACCACCAAACCCCAACATATACAAAACAAACAACAACAAAAAAAAACAAAAAAAAACCAACAAACCCTCCCCAAAGGAAGAAAAAGCCTATCCCAAAAACCTGAAGTATGTGTTATGGTAGTGTTCTCTGTAGTTCTTACTGAAATCTTAAGAATTGACTCGATTTTCCCACTGTAATTCAGTGCCTTGAAATGATTAAGCTCTTCACAGAAACACTTCAAAATCTACAGGCTGAAAGCTTGGAATTGGATTTAAGAATCTTGTCTGTCAATGCAGAGCTCTGCCAGAAGACCACATTGTAGAGCATTGTTTTATTAAGTATTATTTGTTCATAAATAAACAGTAGCACAGATGTAGTACTTATGTAGTGGATCCATTTCCTTATGTTAAGTTTATGTATTCCTAGAGGCATAAGTGGGTTGTTTATCAAATAAGCCTTGTGTTTACATAAACATCAATAAGTTACTAATTTAAGTCCTCCTGTGTCTCCCTGTTACAACCACCTGAAGGTGCCCTGCACTTCAGATAAGAACTGTTTATCATAAGCTATGGTTTCTACTTCTGTAGCATCAATTGTGGTCCTGTGGGGAAGGCTCGGTCTGGAACTTAAGCAACCTTGGTGTGCAGTGAAGGATATGGAGAACATCTTCTTTCTGAAATTATGCCAGTTGCTCTTTTGATTTAAATTGACATTTTTGAGCATTGACAAACAAGCCAGCTGGAATCCACAATTTTAATTCTTACATGTCATGTAACAAAGGTGTTACTTGTATCAGACTTTTTCTTTCCCTGAATGATGTCAAGAGAACATAAACTTGTAAAAAAAACCTATCAGGAATCTGACAGGAAAAACCCTTTTAAAATGGGAACTAAATGTTAATAGTTTCCAGTGTAA